CGCCGTCAAGTAACCATGTGAGCAACAAACGCACATGCCTTGTCGGTGAGTCATCACAACCGTTATTCCTTAATACACTACGTAAGACCCACGGAATCATCTTTCCTCCTGGGCCTAAGCACTCTTCTTATGGGCCCTTCTCTTATACTGATACAAGATAGGTGGACGCAGAGCATCATACGTATCAGAATTCTCCATGATGTTAATGTTTCCTAGGTGTTAATTTACTTGAATTGTGGTAGGATTCGTTTGATGTCTATCACTCTGTTTTGGATTGATTCTGTTTGGGTGGTTAGGGAGAGTTCTGGGTTTCACTTATGTTCCATCCTGTAGTTTTCTTGCTAGAAGTATTATAAAATGCAGTTTGAGATTGTTGGAAAGATGTGCTCTTTGTGTTTAAAAAAGATGGTAACTTTACATACAAATGTTTTGCATTTAAACTTTCTTTACTCATATGAATTGTGTAGTAGACAGGGAAGATGATGCAAGGAGGTGGTAGATATCCTTTCAACTTTGGTGCTCCTTTGGTGGATTTAACAATGGTCCTCGGAGTTTGATGTATAGTTTCTTTGGAGGAAGAGATCCTTTCGAAAACAAAAGTATTCATTTAAAGTCATATATTAAAAGAGAAGTCATGACTTGGCTTACGATGATATTAGTTCATTTAATATATAAGATATTACAACATAGCTTCATTTAACCACTAAAACCTGACACATTCCCATTAAAATCCTTAAGATTTCAATTGTCATTTTCAACTATTGACGAAGACCGTGGAAAATTGAGATTTTCCTCATTATCTCAAATATCGGAAATTTCTATATTATCTTCGGAGTAGCTACTGCTTGACACTTACCTCCGACGTCAATGTCGGTTAAGTGCTAGAGGAACAAAAAGATGAAAGAACTCACTTCCGACGTCAACGAATCCAAACACGGGCTTACATTCGCACTCCAACCCGCAAAAATAAATTTGAAAACCTTATCACATCTTGCCACTAAACTTAAGCCACAACCAGGGCCGACCCTGACCTAAAGCCCATAAAGCAAGGGCTTTAGGCGCCAAAGTATATATAACATTTAGGGGCACCAAATACAATGATGTTGCTTAGTGTAGTGGTAGTGTATTAATCTACTAGTACTCACTTCTCGCCGTTTCGAATCCCCTTCGTAGCATTTTTTTCGGTTTCATTTTGTAAGCAGATTTATCTCTTTTTAGTTTCCTTTTTGATAATGAAAATAACTAAACAGATTTATCATAAACCGTGATTTCCTTTCTTACTAATTTAGTTTCCTTATATATATGGACATAATTAGGAACCAACCAAGTGGAACTACAAATAGAAAAAAAAAAAAGATGAAGTGGTAATATTTCAAGCTAAAGATATGTTCAAATATGTCACGAAAACTAGAACTTCTAGAACTGATGAACTAGTAAGAACTGAAATGGACAAAGAAGATGAATAGCATGTTATCAAAGAAAATCCAGATGAAAATATAGCAAACAAATCATAGTTAGGGGAAACAATTTTTTTTTTAGTTAAAAAAAAAAATAGGGCAACATTTTTTAGTGCGCTTTAGGCGCCAAATATATCCGGACCGGCACTGGCCACAACACATATAAATATGCTAAGAGCGGTTTTAACTTGGCTTATAAACAAACGTAAATGCAAGAAATGAAGTTTAGAATCTCCTAACAATCAAATCACATATCTCTAAGTTTACTGAGATTAACAGGAGAGATGACTTTAACATCACCATACAACAATTGCTTCGCGATGATAACATTTGCTGCTTCACTCGGATGATATGGATCCCAAAACACATACTTATCCCTCTCCTCGCACATACTCGATGTCGGTCCGCACGGTATTATTCCCGCGAACTGTCCTCCATTGCCGCAACAAGCCTTTGTCGCCGTTTTGAACCCTACACAACATACAACTCAAGGCTTCAAATTAACGTGTATATGAAAATACTAATGTGCATGTGCGAACTTAGACATGTACATGTATGTATATGTAACTCAAACCAGCACCAACCCGAAATTAGATTGTATTAGGTTTGGTTATAGTTATTTTACCTATCGAATTATGCAGACTCGTGGATATCGGTTCATATTTAGTTTCCTACTCGAAGATCAAATATATCAAAAAAATATTATATGTATTAGTTACTTGTCGATAGTACTGATATAGTTTCAGCATTTGTTTTAATTTTCAAGATTTAAAGGCATATTCTCTGGTTTTTAGTAAATTTTACTCCCTCCGTTTAATTTTAGTTATCATTTTAAGTTTACACACAAATTAAGAAATTATTTAATTTTGCATATTTTCAAAATAAAAACATAATCATCTATACATCTAACCACATTTTAACCAATAGAAAAATAAATAAAACTAATAAATTCTACATTGAAATTATAAAATGACATTTATTTTGAAACAATTTTTTTTTAAAATGACAAACAAAGTGGAAGGGAGGGAGTATATAATAAATACTCAAATCGAACTATATCTAATTAATTATGAGTATTAAAAGAATCTAGAAATTGAAACTTGATGAAGTGGTTTTGAATTGACAGAAGCCAAACTGAAACACTTGTGGGTCTTAAATGGACACTATCTGATAGACCCCCAATCCATATGTTCCTATATGAATGAATGCAAAATCTATGTGAATTATTGAAGAACAAAAATGAAATATTACCGTATTTATCGTAATTAGTAATGAGTTCCATAACGAGATCGTAGACATTGGCATGCACGAACATGGCTCCGGGAAGCTTCTTGTTTAGGTCCTCTAATAAACTCTTAAGTCGAATATTGTATTGATTTGCTAGCTTATTAGCCAAATCCACACACTCATTTTCGTTTAGTTGATTAATTGTTTTCTGGTACGGTATGCATCCGATCGGTCCAACGTTCCCGATTACAAACTTCCTCGCATCCAATTCATACAACCTCTGCATTGCAAACATACAAAAAAAACACATTACATGTAAGCTTAAATCAATCTTCTTGAGACCATTTGTTTTGTTGTTCCTTACGGTTAGTTGGTCGCGTAGATGATCGATCATGTCGTCAATAAAGTTATCAGGAGTTTGAGTAAGCCGTGTTCCAACAGAGAGAAGTGGGAACAGATAGTTGTTGAGGAAGTCATTGGCTCCGATAGTGATGGAGAATATTGATTTCTTGCTTATATACCCTTTTGCTTTCTCTTTTCCAAGTAGATCATCGAATTGTTTACGTGTAGTATTGAAGAAATCGACTTGTACATCCATACCTAACCTATTCACCTACCAAGTATATACAGATTATCCAGTTACAAAAAAGTATATACAGATTATAAAAACAAATTATAACTTCAAAACGAAATGTATAAAACATTATTAAAAAAAAAAATTGATTACTTACAAAGATTCTTCCGGTTGCATTCATGATTCCTCCTCCTCCAGACGCGTAATTTACACCGGCTAGTAAAGCTTTCCCGGTAGCGTTTGGTGCTAAGAATGGGATCGCATAGTTTGCTGATCCGAGTTCTTCCCCTGAAATATCATAAATCAAACCGTTCATACCAAAAATATAGCATGTGTAGACCAAAATAAACATCAACCATTAACGGGTGTACATGAGTTGAAATGAATATATCTAAACTAATGATGTATACCACATACCAAGTTACCAACACTATATATGCGTTAGAAGATATAGATGAACGTACCAATGATGTCACCAATGGTCCGGCCATTAGTAAACCGACCGGTAGGGTTTCCTCCGGAGGCTTTGAAATCGATACCATTAGGCTTCATATTGGCCCTAGACAAGGTCGGTAGATAGTTATTGTTTCCTGCATCGACTAGAGAATCTCCAAATATAAAGGAAGCTCCTAATCCACCATTTTTGTTATTATTATTGTTATTAACTCCACGGCCAGCAGCTTCCACTAAGGCAGTGAGAGTTAAGAGGAAGGAGAAAAAGAAGAAGAGAGACAGGTACATATCTCTTCTTGAACGAGAAGCTCTTGTGGGCATATCTCTGGATGTAAAGAAAACTTAGCTGTGTGTGTTTCAGAGTTATATAATAAAGAAAGGTTTGGGATTGAAAGTAAACTTGTGAGACTGTGCTTCAAGATTTTTCTAGTGGTTGTTCATCAACGTGGACTAGTTTTTCCTTTTGCTTGTGAGAAAATAACGACCCGGCCTCTGATTCGTTGAGCGCTTGAGTTCTCCGGATTTATAAGTAATAATTAAATTAATCCAACCAAGTAGTTGAAGTCTGATGGACAATAAATTATATTATCAATTTCCAATAAGAAAAGTAACTACTGCTAAAGTTATTTTATTATTAACTTGCGACCAAAATACAGTTTCTGTTTTGTTTTGTCTTTTGTACACTTCATACATGTAAACCATAACAAAAATGAGTTAAAGAGAGTTTGTTTCAAATATTGAAGTAACTTGTTAAATACAATCTTTTCTTTTTATACTTTTTGTCATACATGTGAAATTTTTTCAGAAATCAGAAAATATTGTTTAAAAAGAGATTAGGTGGTAATCTGGTCAAGAAGGTGAGACTCATATTCTGTTTTATGCAACCTTAATCAAAACTTGAAACTTTATTATTCATTTTGGACACTATCTTTTTTTTCTTTTAACTGTATTTGGACATTATCTAAAAATTTGATATCATTCCTTTTTCTGTGATTTGCAGAAAGTAGGTAAGGTAATTTTCTTTAACAGTTGGATAATTATTATTATAAAATAATAGTTTTCATATCCTCCACTATTATCCAGCTGTAATGCATTACAAAGTAGCAATTTTTTTTCTTAAAAAAAAACTGTAAGTCCCATCAAATCAGAGTACTAAAGGAAACAGTACAACACATTTCCCCAAATTCATGCACATTTTCAAATATAAAAAATCCGACCGTTGCAGTCTCATCTTTAAAAAGAACAAAATAAATACAATTTCTTCAGAGCAGCGAGCGACAAAAGACAATAGAGAGAGCAGTGCAATCTTATAAGCAGTGAAACCATCATCATCATCATCATCGTCATCACCATGCTTGCCACGAGATCAGCAATGCAAGCTTCAATGCCCAAATCAAACCCTAACCCAGAGATGGAAGGAAGACCAAAGGCCTCTCTCTACGAACAATGCCGAGAAGAGAGGATCAAAGAGAATCTTCAGCGGATGCAGAATCTCGGCCTCTTGAATCTCGCGAGAAAACTCCAATCCGAGACCCGACCCGGTAAAAGACCGTTCGGTAGCTCTAACCCGGCTCCGAAATCGACCCCTCCCACCGCTCCTTCCCGGCGATCTTCCCGGTATAATCTCTTCGTCGTCTCCCTCTCTGATTGAAAGATTAGGGTTTATGATTCCTCAGTCAAAATTAGGGTTTATGAGTGGAAGTTAGGGTTTATAATTTCTCTGTTGAAATTAGGGTTTAGGGTTTCCTTTGTTGAAATTTAGGGTTTTTGATTTCTTCTTCTTGCCATTTTGTCAGATTGGAGAACACGACTCCTGTTACCTACAACGAGAGAGTGACTGTGAAGGATAAAAAATCCAGGCGAGAGAGTTTGTTGCTTTGTGAAGGCACAAGAGCTGAGGTTTACACAGAGGAGCATGAGAAGCTGCTTGGGAACACAGAACGAAGCTGGACTTGCTTTGTTGATGGCTATGACAAGAATGGAAAGAGGATTTATGATCCCTTTAAGGGTAAAACTTGTCACCAGTGCAGGTTTATCTCTACTCTTAAATCTAACTCCCAAGATTCATACAAAATTAAGTGAGCTAAAGCTTATGTGTTTCATATTCTGTCACGAGAGATAACTTTCTCAACGCTTCAGTGTGTTTTTAGAACTTCTTTTCACGGATATTTGAGTCCAAGTATACCAAACGAGATTGCTTTTAATGCTTCAGTGTGTGTTTTAGAAACGAACTTCTTTTTTTTCCAAATCTGTGAAATGAAGTTGCTTAATACATAGAAATCTGAATCCGAGCTGAAGAGAAGTAAACCAAACCGATATGTTTTTTTCATGAAAGAGTTTGATATGGGATATATGTGTAACAAAATGGCTTTAATGCTTCAGTGTGTGTATGTGTGTTTTCAGGCAGAAAACGCTTGGTCATCGCACCAAGTGCAGCGAATGCGACATGGTCCAAGGACAATTCTGTGGAGACTGTTTGTTCATGAGGTGAGTACTCTTCCTTGTGCAATGGGGTTTTTCTGTTGTTACTATTGAATGTGTTTCTTTTTTGTTGATGAATAGATATGGGGAACATGTTATGGAAGCTCTTGAGAATCCAGACTGGGTTTGCCCTGTTTGTCGCGGGATTTGCAACTGCAGTTTGTGCCGGAATAATAAAGGATGGGTTCCAACTGGTCCAATTTATAGAAGGGTGCGTTATTCTTTTGATCATTCATTTGCTTTATCTTATGTTTTTTGTTACTTTTGAATAGACTCAAGAGCTGAAGATTTCTTTCTTGGCATTGTTTCCAGATAGCTAAACTCGGCTACAAGTCTGTGGCACATTATCTGATTCAAACCAAACGTGCACAAGCTGATGATGTCACCCCGAATCAAGCTTCAGCAAAGAGATCACTTTCCTTTCAAGAAGCAAAACAGCTTCCAAACTTTGCTGATGATGATCACCCTAATGAAGTACCAAAGCTTCAGATTATGGAAAGTCAAAATGGTGATTCCTTGGAGAAAGAGGGATGTGAAAACACAACAGACGAGAATCCAAATTCAGCTAAAAGGTCACTGAGCTTCTGCTTGCCTTCAGCGGATGATCAGACTCCATGGGTTGATGTTCAGGTCACTGGTGATTATCTACCAAAAGTTCATGAAAAGACAGGAGAAATATCAAGTTTGAACTGCTTTCCGGTCAATGTTGAGGTTCTCAGCGAGGAGCCAAAGACCGTAGATAATTCGGCGAAGACTGGGGAACCGAGAAGTGAGAGAACAACATCTCTCGACCTTAGTTCAGATAGCATTGGCAGCGCTGTGAAAACTCGCAGTAAGAGGAAAGCGGCTCAAGAACCTAATCCAGATAGCATTGGTGCAAGACTGAGGCAGCGTCGAAGGAGCCAAAGTGGCCTTTAGAAAGTAGTTTCAGAGGAAAAACTTGAACCCATCTCTCAGTCTCTCTCTCACATTTCCCTCCCTGTTATGTAGTTTTGTTGCTTGTTCAAGCTCCTTCACAATTTAACCTCTTGTGTTACTCTCTGTTAGACTCTATGTTATGTGTTTTTGGTTGCTTGTGCAAAGCTCCTTGACAATATTAACCTCTTTTGTTTCTAAGGGATCAAAAGTAAGAATCCTTGCAAGACTCTTTATCATGTCATGTCGTTGAGGGTAATTCGGAATCTGAGTTCCAAGGAATGTGAGTTCCATGCTAGAAAAAGTATTAGTTTTGGGAATAAAACAAAACATAAAACCGTATATAGAAGCTATTGATCAAGTTTGTAATAGTCAATTTGTTCGGAATTAAATGATAACCATCACGCATTTAAGCTAATATGTCATGTAGAATTCCTTTTTTTATCAATTTGAATAAATATTCTGGGAAATCTTTACCTTAAATGTGGAGTCTAAAGAGAGCAAGAATCTTCCCACAGTTCTCAACCTAACATATTTAATACGCATGTATATTGTCTGTTCACCCAAACCTCTCAAACATATCTAGTCAAAGCCCTTTTTAACTTTCTTAATTTGACCATATAATCGAAAAGAAAAAACTGACCAATAAAATATGTATAAGATTTAAAAATATATCTACAAACTGAATAATCCTAAAATGTGTCATTTTATTTTATTATTTATTTATAAGCGAATCACATTTTTCGTTACTGCCAGAGTTGACTAATTCATACGTTTTTCCAAGGCACAAAATACGACAAAAAACCGTTTTTAATAACAGAAAAATACAAATCTTGTTTTATTTAACTTTTTTTTTTTTAACACTGGATAATTATGCCATTACAAACTACGAGAAATGTTACAGACGATTCAACAACCGACAATTCTATACCTATCTTATGAGGATTCACGCACTCCTAACTGCATCACCTGAGCCGCCCTATCAGATCCACGCTTGACGGTACTCCTTGTGCCATGCTGCAGATCTCTTGTAAGCCTTTCTCCACTAATTCGCATAATTCCGTCTTCTCTGGGATTCGAACCCCATACCTGCTGGTGTAGAAGCATTAATGAACCCTTAGTCAAACCACTGGACCAAGGGGGCTTCCACNCACTCCTAACTGCATCACCTGAGCCGCCCTATCAGATCCACGCTTGACGGTACTCCTTGTGCCATGCTGCAGATCTCTTGTAAGCCTTTCTCCACTAATTCGCATAATTCCGTCTTCTCTGGGATTCGAACCCCATACCTGCTGGTGTAGAAGCATTAATGAACCCTTAGTCAAACCACTGGACCAAGGGGGCTTCCACAGTTTTATTTAACTTTTATTAAATAAAAAAGTTACTAGTAATAAATAATTGTATAAACATTACAGTCTGTCATAAATGCAAAAAAGAAAAGAGCTTATAGGAGATTCTTTAATTAAAGGCAGCAAATGATGATTACAGAAATTGAAATAATTTTAGCTGAAAACCCTAAACGCAGGAGGAGGAGGAGCCACCACTATTCTCTCTCTGCTTTTGTGTAAAACAAAAAGTCAATGCCTTTTTGACCGAACCTGTAAAAAAAAAAAAAAAGAAAGGCTAGAGAGAGAGAGAAGCCACTGAGTAGAAAGAAAGAGAGAGAGAAGTAAATGAAACAAGAGATTGGTGGTGAGAGGACTCAGCTTTGCATTTATTATCTAATCTTCCAAACACAAAAACAAAACAAAAAAAAAGATCTTTCTTCTTCTTCTTCCTTCTGTTCTGTTCTGTCTCTAGGGTTTTCTTGGATTCCATTTTATAATTTTTATTTGAATTTCTGTTTCCATTTCTCCGTGAAATTCGTTTGATTTAAACCCCAAAATCTTATAAATTTCCAATCTTTATCTTCTGGGTTCACTTAAAGTTTCCGTCTTTATTGATCTCCTCCAAGATCTCCTTCTCAATTAGGGTTTTTTTTCTCTCTCTCTTATGGGTCTTCCCTCCTTTTATTACTAAAACAAAAAGATTATGCATTTCCCTTTGTGGAAGCAAATCCACCACTGCGCTGCTCTCATCTTAGACAAGAGCAAGAGCAGGAGTAGAAGCCATGACTCCTCCTCCACCTCCTCCTCCACGCTCCGTAAGCTCTACGAAGACAAGCTCAGAGAAGCTCTCGAGGAAGCATCCGAGAACGGGTCACTCCACAAATCTCAAGACATAGACAATGAGACTCAAGAAGACGAGAACTTGTCCCGGTCTAGATCCCTAGCGAGACTCCACGCGCAGAGAGAGTTTCTACGCGCGACAGCTTTAGCAGCTGAACGAGATTTCAACTCAGAGGAAGACATCCCTCAGCTTCTTGAAGCTTTTAGCAAGTTTCTTACAATGTATCCCAAGTACGAGACGTCTGAGAAAGTTGATCAGTTGAGATCTGATGAGTATGGTCACTTGTCTGATTCCAATTCCAAGGTATGTCTTGATTACTGTGGGTTTGGTCTGTTCTCGTATGTTCAGACGCTTCATTATTGGGATTCTTGTACGTTTAGTCTCTCTGAGATCACTGCTAATTTGAGTAACCACGCGCTTTACGGTGGAGCTGAGAGTGGGACTGTGGAGCATGATCTCAAGACTAGGATTATGGATTACCTCAACATCCCTGAGAGTGAGTATGGTCTTGTTTTCACTGTTAGTAGAGGCTCTGCGTTTAAGCTCCTTGCTGAGTCTTACCCTTTTCATACAAACAAGAGGCTTTTGACGATGTTTGATCATGAGAGTCAGTCTGTGAACTGGATGGCTCAGACTGCTAGAGAGAAGGGAGCTAAGGCTTACAACGCTTGGTTTAAATGGCCGACTTTGAAGCTGTGTTCCACTGATTTGAAGAAGAGGTTGTCTCATAAGAAGAGGAAGAAGAAGGACTCTGCTGTTGGGTTGTTTGTGTTTCCTGCTCAGTCTAGGGTTACTGGGTCTAAGTACTCTTACCAGTGGATGGCTCTTGCTCAGCAGAACAACTGGCATGTCTTGCTTGATGCTGGCTCTCTAGGTCCTAAAGATATGGACTCGCTGGGGTTGTCCTTGTTTCGACCAGAGTTTATCATCACTTCGTTCTATAAAGTGTTTGGGCATGATCCTACAGGGTTTGGTTGTTTGTTGATTAAGAAGTCAGTGATGGGTAATCTCCAGAGCCAGTCTGGTAAAACAGGATCAGGAATAGTGAAGATCACACCTCAGTATCCGTTGTATCTCAGTGATTCAATAGATGGTTTGGACGGATTGGTTGGTCTTGAAGATGGTACAAATGGTTATGATAAACCTCCTGGCGCTACTATGGAAGCTGCTCGTAAAGGAGCTCAGATGCCGGCTTTCTCTGGCGCATACACTTCAGCTCAAATGAGAGATGTGTTTGAGACAGAGCTTTTAGATGATAATACCTCTGATAGAGATGGGACTAGTAGTACCATTTTCGAAGAGAATGAAAGCGTTTCGGTTGGAGGGTTGATGAAGAGTCCAGCTTTTAGTGAAGATGAGTCATCAGACAACTCGTTTTGGATCGATTTGGGTCATAGTCCTCTTGGTTCTGACCCCTTGAACCACCATAAAATCGCCTCTCCGTTGCCACCGTTTTGGTTTACAAGCAAACGGCAGTCACCTAGACCTGTTGCAAAGAGTCCTATGTATGATGGTAAAGACGTCCTCTCGTTTGATGCTGCAGTTATGTCGGTTACTCAGGAGACTAATAACTCAACGCCATCACGGAACCTGAGGAACTCCAGGAGTCTCCTTACACAAGAGATACAGGAAGAAGAGCAATGTGGTTTTGGAACAAATGGGTCAAGCTCCAAGATTTGCTCTGATATGAAAGAGAATGCTATTAGACGAGAAACAGAAGGAGAGTTCAGGTTGTTAGGAAGAAGAGGGAGGCTTATGGGTGTTGAAGATGAGCAACCTAGCAGAGGAACAAGGGTTTCGTTTAATGTTGACCGTGTCAGTCATAGTCTGGACCAAGGTGAAGCTTCTCTGGCAAGTGTGTATGACGAAGAAAGTGATGGTGAGAACCCGAATGAGGATGATTGGGAGAGAAGGGAACCGGAGATTGTTTGCAGCCATATTGATCATGTGAATATGTTAGGTCTTAGTAAAACCACAACTAGACTCAGGTTCCTTATAAACTGGCTTGTGATCTCTTTGCTGCAATTGAAAGTGCCTGAATCAGGCGACAGAGCCATGAATCTTGTGCAGATTTATGGGCCAAAGATAAAGTACGAAAGAGGAGCAGCGGTTGCTTTCAACGTGAAAGACAAAAGCAAAGGCTTTGTGAGTCCAGAGGTTGTTTTAAAACTTGCTGAGAGAGAAGGTGTGTGTCTTGGTATTGGCATCTTGAGTCACATACGGATGATGGATATCCCGAGAAGCCATCATCATCGTGGGGGAGGCGCTAGGATCAAGGAGGAAAGCTCTTTGCATATGCAGAGAGAAGCTGGTGGTAAGAGAGGAGGTGGGTATGTGAGATTTGAGGTTGTGACAGCTTCTCTGAGCTTTTTGACAAACTTTGAAGATGTTTATAAGCTATGGGCTTTTGTGGCCAAGTTCCTAAACCCTAGTTTCAGCAGAGAAGGTACGCTCCCTACTGTAGTTGAAGATGAAGAAGCAGAAGAGTCAGAGACGTGATGGGAGAAAACACAAAGCCAGAAAACTTTTTGAATATGACTCAAAAGAGGCTGTGCATCCTAGAGATGATGGGTAGTGGTGCTTCTGGAAATGGAAAGTGAGAGATGTGAGTTGAGATTTGTTGCTATATAGTTTTTTATTTAATTGCGTTTTGATGTGTTTATCAGTTGTGAGATAGGGAGGGAACAATTCTTGTAATGTGGAAAGCAGAAACAGTGTTTGGCCAAAAGATTTCACGTTTAGATTAAAGCATTTAGCTCTGACACAACCTCTCATCAAGTCTCTTGTATACACATTTCCGGTAACCAAAATTTCTCAATGTGATGAATTGTGGTTAAGACCTTGACTCTCTCTCTCTCTCTCTCTCTCTCTCTCTCTCTCTCTCTCTCTCTCTCTCTCTCTCTCTCTCTCTCTCTCTCTCTCTCTCTTTCTACACACAAAAATGCCCTTTTTTACTCTTTGACACACAAAATTTACTGCAAGCTGAATGTCAGGTCTTGATATAGTGAGATACTGTAATTTCCCTGCAATTCTCCTGAAGTAGGTTGATTCTGGGAATGCTTCATCTTCAAGTGTATTAGGGCTTGTGGGTAGTGGCGTGGGCATGGGATTACATGTAGGCATGCTTGCTTGATGGAGCACATCATCCGCATAAGCTGGCTGATGAAGAAACAACCCATCAGACGTCTTCTCTATTTCAATGTCAAGAAAGTAAGAGGGAAATCCAAGATCTTTCATCAGGAAGTGTGTGTTGAGCTTTTGAAGTAGATTATCCATTAGGCTTTAATCATTAGATGTGAGAAGAATATCATCAACGTACAGAAGCAATACCATTGTTTTACCTTGATGCTGATATATGAAGAGAGATGGATCAGACTTGTTGCAGATGAAACCAAATTCAATGAGAAAGGCACTGAATATATCAAACCAAGTTCTTGGAGCTTGTTTTAAGCCGTAGAGAGCCTTTGAGAGTTTGCACACATAGTCTGGTCTCTCTGCATCCACAAATTCCTGAGGTTGAGTCATGTAAACTGGTTCTTTAAGTTCCTTGTGAAGAAAAACATTGGACACATCTAGTTGCTTCAGATTCCAGCCTTTGTGAACAGCAACATTCAGCACTATTCTTATCGTTGCAGTCCTGACAACTGGACTGAAAGTCTCCAAGTAGTCGAGTCCTTCTTCTTGATGATTCCCTTTGACAACAAGTCTTACCTTCAACTTATCAACATCTCTATATGGTTTTAGCTTTGTTTTGTACAGGCACTGTGATCCAATTAAATTCATCTCTGGGTTTCTTGGAACTAGAGTCCATGTGTGTAGCAAGTGTATTCTTTCTATCTCTTCCATAACATCATTTCTCCAACTAGGATGAGCCATAGCTTCTGCAATTGTTTTAGGCTCTTTGGTGGAGAATTTTGACGCAAGCAGAACATATCTTGAGTAAGGTTTGTGAATCCCCGCTTTAGATCTAGTTGTCATGGTATGGGTGTTGTCCACATGAGGATTCACAGGAGGAGCAACTTGAGGAGCTGGTTGTATGTCTACTTCCGGTTCTTCTTGTGGGATCATTTGAGGATTAGGTAGTGAGGCAGGAGTGAAGAACCTTGTGTTCTATCATCTGATGACTGAGTACTTGGTGGAGATGATTGCCACGCCTGCATCAACAGAGTCTTGTACTGAGAGACTAGATGTTTGTACTGATGTTTAAAAGGGAATAACTCTTCATCAAAAATCACATGTCTACTTATATAGACTTTTCCAATTGGAGGGTGCAAGCATCTTTAACCCTTGTACTGAGAGTTGTATCCAAGGAAGACACACTGTAGACTTCTTGGATAAAATTTGTTTTCAGTTTGAGATCTTAGACATGGGTAACACGCACTACCAAATACTTGAAGGGAAGAGTACTCTGGTTTATTGTTCTTCAACACCTCGTAAGGACTCTTGTCTTTCAGAACTGAGCTTGGTAGTCTGTTCCCAATGTATATAGAAGAGAAAAAAGCTTCTACCCAGTGCTTAAGTGGAACATGACTGTGAAAAAGCATTGTCACACCAAGCTCCACCAAATGTCTTTGTTTCCTCTTTGCAGTACCGTTTTGTTGTGGAGTATATGGACAACAGGCTAGGTGTTTGATTCCAATCTCAGCAAAGTGTTGTTTCAGAGCGTTGTTCATGAATTCACCACCACCGTCCCTCTGAAATACCTTGATCTTTGTATTGAACTCATTCTCAACCAGTCTTTGAAACACTTTAAACACTGCAACGAAATCTGATTTAGCTTAAAGTGGATAGAACCAGGTGTATCTAGAGAAGTCATCCACAAAAATAACATAGTATTTGAATCACTGGTTTGATACAACTGGAGCATGACCCCAAAGATCACAATGAATTCGATCTAGGGGTTGCAAAACACTAGAGTCTGAAGAAAAAAACTGAAGTCTAGATGATTTCCCTATCTGACAAGGCTCACAAATAGGATTGATGTTGCTCTTATTCACGGTGATCTCCTTGTTGTTCTTGAGGTGTTGAAGAATCTTGTAGTTGGAGTGTCCAAGTCTTTGGTGCCAAACTTCTGCATCAGCTCCACACTGTCGATTTGAATACATAGCAACTACTTCTTGACTCTTCAACACATATAAGCCATTACGACGAGGACCCTTTGACACTACCCTCTGAGTTTTTAGATCAATCATGCAAACTTTAGATGCATCAAAGTATACTCCTCAAGGATAATCATCACAAAGCTTAGAAACAGATAACAATGACTTCTGAATATCATGATAGACTAGTACATCATTAAGAGAGATGTTACCTGCGGTGTTAGAGAGTGTGACAGAGCCTATGTGACTGATAGGGAGGTAAGTCCCATCTGCAACCATCACAGCGTCAGTTCCATTGTAAGTCTTAGCGGCATGAAGGTTGTTCGTAGAAGGGTGACGTGTGCTGTAGCACTGAAGTCAGGATTAGGCCTGCGACTTAAACCCGTAACCGATTAACCGAACCGGAATCGACCCGATTTTGACCGGTTCGGATCGGTTTCGGTACAGCCAATTATAACCGACGGGTAGTGATTAAAAAAACCATGGGTAACGGGTCGGATCTGGGTTTTACCCGATTTTTTTCGGATACCCGACATAACCCAAATCAAGTAGGTTCCTTTATGACCGTTAGAAAGTAGTTAGCTTTAAGTCACCTTCTCGAGACTCGAATCGAGACATGAGACAATCCTTGCAGCCTGCTTCCTCAAGATGATTGTCGAGAGAAACCTCAATTCCCCAAATACAAACCCTAGCTTTTCGTTTCGTCTTCTCCACTTCATTATAGCAATCGAATCGAAGATTTCCCTACAAATAGAACAACCGTTGTACTCAAAAATAGTCAAGCTGGAACCTCTAGTGAATCATCTTCTGTCTCCATCGTCTGCAACTTCTA